CTAACCAGGATCCGAGATGTCGAACAAGGTCAGGTACATACACTCTTGCAGAATCTAATTCAATAATGCTTCTTTCATAGTATGAGTGCATGGATTTTCCCAAGTGGAGAGTGTTTCATTTTATCCTACTTTCAATCGCATATAATCTATTTCCGCAATGCCAGCTGATTTAATTCTCTAATTAAAGACAGAAAAGTAGCCGAAGATTATAACTGTATTTCTGCACGTAGGCAGTTACTTTGATGAATAGTCTATTATTTGTAATATCCTCAATGCAATATCACAACGTAAGTTATACAAATTCATAGAAAAGTGTTTTTGTGGAGACTTTAACGTCTGCACTAGAAACAAAGCATACGATAAAAGGACAGCGACATTTTAAAATTATAGGAGATTTTTTTTCTTTTAAAAATTAGTTTTCCAGTTAAATTGAAAAGGGAGGCAACTTTGGAATTGGTACACTGAATAACTTGCTCCAAAAACGTATAAACATTTACATTATAGTGCAAGTACAAGTTTGTGCTTGACGTATTTATACCACCGGAACTATCTACTAGGTCTTCCTACCCCTTTTCAGTAAAAATATCAAAGTGGTTCAAATTACTTGATGCAAAGAAAAAAAAGAAAAAACTGAAATTGCCTCTCATTTTAATCGTTTGTGGCAAATATGTTTCGTGTATTGCTATATATCTAGTTTGTGTTAAAGATATAGCATACGACAGTGAGATGATTGTTTGTTGTTTGTATATTTAAGAGTTTCGCTCGAAGCTCCATGAGGGCTATCTGCGCATATTTTTCCACAATTTTGAACTGATAGGCTAGAAGGAAGACAGCTAGCCATCAACATCCATCCCCAACTCTTGGGATGCTTTCGTCTGACTGAGTAGTCGGAATTGACCTTTAACCCCCACTCTTATAGAGCACCCATGTCTTCACGAGCGGAGTACGTTTCTGCCAGAACGAGTTCCAAATCACGATTTCTTGAATTTACAGTCTGGGCACGCTAACTACTAGAACACACCAGACCAATACTGAGATGAATATCAAAAAGGTTTTTAGAGTCTAAAACTGAAACATCAAAATAACTACTAATAAAACAGGAAAACTATTTTTCACAAAATATATCAGAAATGAAGTGTAGTTAGTAAGCCTGAGCAAGCGCAGTGAAATTACTTGACGTACAGTATAAAAAAATAACTTATGTATTAACATATGATAGTAATTACAACAATATTCAGAAATATCTAATGAACTGTAGTGTAATCTAACATATTAAGTAGTTGTGTCGCTTAAAGATAAGATATTTATTATTTTATTTTTTTTGTTAGTCAAACACGTGGATAAATTATTTTAAATAGATTCTAAAACTAACCTTTCTGATTTTCATTAGACCATGCTCTCGTCTGACTGAGTAGTCGGAATTGACCTTTAACCCCCACTCTTATAGTGCACCCATGTCTTCACGAGCGAAGTACGTTTCTGCCATAATGAGTTGCAAATCACGATTCCTTGAAATTCACAGTCTGGGCACGCTAACTACTAGGACACACCAGACCAATATTGAGATGAACATCAAATAAGTTTTTAGAGTTTAAAACATGACAATTAAGATGAACTTGCACCACCTATGAACAAATAATAAAGACAGTTGAACTGTGCTTTATCGTACAAGCATATTAGAAGAGGAAGCATTTATTAACGTCAAAACGTAACTGATATCATTCTTAATAAAACTTAAATACTGGCACAACGGTATTTTCGAAGAAGAAAAATTAGTCTTACAGAAATGCCTGCAAAATATACTACCTACTGTGATCATATCGATAGTAGGAACTGTGCTTTATTGTACAAGCATATTAGAAGAGGAAGCATTTATTAACGTCAAAACGTAACTGATATCATTCTTAATAAAACTTAAATACTGGCACAACGGTATGTTCGAAGAAGAAAAATTAGTCTTACAGAAATGCCTGCAATTATACTACCTAATGTGATCATATCGATAGTAGGAACAATATTATAGATCATCAAGTACAACTATGGACAGGTAGTCTGTGAACATATAGCTTTTATAGATCACAAATAATAAAAAGTAAAGAAAAAACAATAGCAACAAAGACAACTAGAACATAAAATTATTTGTCAGGTGAACGGATTTAACGTAAAAATCTGGAAGAAACTTCAAAGACTAACAACTGAACTGCTGCACCATTTAGAATCATCTGTAAGTGTAGGTGAAGTAAACAACAAAAGTATTTATCTTAGCTTCAGCACATTATCCTAGATTCTATGATTCTTCCTAAACTACATAAATCAGGGACTCTATTGTCTCATGAATATATATATTCAGCTTTATTACCAACTTTTGAAGAATGTCGCTAATCTAGCAACTTTTGTTAAATAAAAATTCAACATCATGTTAACATGTCACAAAATATATTAATTCTTGAAATATTCTTCACATGTTTAGGAAGATGTGTTTATTGAAGAGAGCTGAAAACACAGCAACTTCTTCGGAAACGTTCACCTATTTTATTTTCTTGCTAACTTGTTTAATAATTGAAATTTTTTTAAATATAATTGTACCACGTTTTAGTTGTATTTCTTTGTTTGATTTCTTACCGTTAGGAATGCCTTTCTTTTCGTGTGGTTGCAACTTAAATATTTGACTCAACAAATTCAACATTTCTGTAGGGTACGATATTCAATTCACGTGACAAGTAAGTCCGTGGCCGTTCTGTTCTTGACTTGTTGGCAAAACCCAACCTAACAAAACTAATCTATTTTGAGTAGTGGTGAGGAAAATAAATAAAGAAAATAGGCGGAAAGTGTGAATAACGTTACCTTAGGGCATGCAAACAAATTCCAACACTTCACTTGAGGCTGCGCCCCAATACAGGTGTTCAGTGAGAACAGTGAATACTATATACCTGTGCATCATTATCTTCTGGCGGCGAGTATCAAATATTTTCATTTATAAAGGCAAACGGTTTTACAACTGTTAAAATTTTATGAGCGACGCCACACTATTTGCTACGCTTAAATGATGTATATATGCAAAGACATATCGAAAATTAGTAAGGTTTTTTATTTGCCACTTTGTATTTTATTTTCATCCATTTCATAAGCGTTTATATTATCAGCTTTATATACACGCATCATGTCTCCTGAAATAGATGTTTCATTTGTAAATATACTGTAAAATATATGTCATCTTAATGACTAAGTTTGATGTCAGGGATTCACGGTTCGTAAAGAATATTGTGAAATGTAGTTCTTTACAAACAATATGGGTTTTACATGTGAAATTTCGAGCGAGATTAAAGCGCCTTAGATGACCAATACTGAACTTCACAGGAGGAATCATTTTGTGAGCTCTAAAATATCGACTATACGAAAGTAGTGAAAATAACATAATATGTAAAGTTCAGAGCAACCACTCGTGCTTGTGTTATTATCTGAATAGCTGTTGAAAAATGCGTCTTAGATATGTGGAGTGTAGGAAAGTAATTTTAAATTATATTAATCCGAGACAAACTACACGTCAAACTTGAAGGTCTGAAGTCGTCGAACCAAGGTCTAGATTAGCAAGCGCAAAGTTGTTAGTGAACAGGACGTGTTCTTGATTTTGTTAAATGTTTTGTTTTTCGTTTCATGCAGTGTTGCGCCAACTCGTTCATTTGAGCCTTTACAAAGCTCTTAACACTTTACATGTAGCTATTAATGCCTGCTCATAACATGGGTGATACATATAGATCTGTATTAAGAAATAAGAACCACGTTTTCTCTTCCACTTTGCTTTTGTATTCATCTCACAAGTTTCTGGTCAAACTTTCCGCAAGCATTTTTTAGGTATTTCTGTTTCCAATCCTTCAAAAATATTTAAGAGTCTAACTGAAATACAACAGAAATAGACTTTCAGCCGTGGGGGGCGTTATAGTGTGACGGTCAATCCCACTATTCGTTGGTAAAAGAGTAGCCCTCGTGTAGCTTTGCGCGAAATTCAAAAACAAACAAACAAAAATTGAAAATTATTTTCATGAAGATAGCCAATATCGCTGTCTTTAATAAATTATAGGAAACTTATCAATATATGAAATGTTTTTAGATGTGTACACACAAGTAAATATGTTTTAAAACGTTTGAAAACAGGATGTTTCGTTAGATTTATCTAACATTATTAGGTGACGTGATTTTAATGGAAGCGTTACCTCTGTTCGAAACTGTCAGATTTTACAGGATTGATATAACTTCATGAAACAACAAAGTTTATTTCTGAAGGTGTAGCGAAACAGTGATAAGATACGAGTATCGTATCGTAAAGCCGTGATATGACTGTATTGATACAATTCGACGGAATTTATGTATCTTCACGAAATTTGGCAAGCTTTCAGTAAACGGAAATGTATATCCGTAAATAAGAATAAATTTAATGCTGCCATCTGTTGAAAATTTAAAGATGAAAAAAATAAAATTTATAACGTTATTTAATTATTTTTTTTATAATGTTTTGAGTCCACGTGCCACAGTTGTAAACTAATTTATTAAGTACATAACAGGAAAAAGACAATTTTTATAAACCTTGAAATAAATTCCTATCAATTGTACGTAGTAGATGTTTCTAATATATATATTTTATTTCACTATGCTTGTGATTTAAGCATAGTGTTCGTAACTTTCTGCTGTGAACAGTTGTCTGAGCGATTTCTCTTAAGGGCTAAGTTCCAGAGAATAGTTCATGAACAAGCTTATTCTAAAAGTTTCTGTTTGTTGTAATCAATACAGTGAACCATGATGCACCATATTTGGCACGATAATCTCTGTTCCGATATTCGGTTTCGCGAGTCTCTATTGTTTGTCTTTTATTTTCGGGTTGTTTTACACGACGCTCTGCTGTAGAGTAGTCAACTATTTTTAACACAATTTTTTTTTCTCTCTCTCTCTCTTCTATGGCTTTCTTTGTGGATTTCCACCCTTTCTGTGGCCGGCTTCTGAACTAGGTGAATCCGGGAAGTTTGGCGGAGAATGCTGGATTGCAGACTGGTGATGGCGTCCTCAAGATCCAGGGCCAAGCCACGGAGAACATGCGCCATAAAGAAGCGCAAGATAGCATAATCCGAGCCGGAAACTCGCTAGAGCTTTTGATTCAGAGGTAAGAATTGCTCATGAAGAAGGTGGGACAGCAGAAGTCCTTAGATTAACTCTTATCAGAAATAAAGATTGTTTATCAGGCAAGAACACAGGGGAGTTTCTCAGATGTCTTCGACTCAAACGTGACAAAAATGTTTGAGTTGATATAATAAGTTTGTTTACGTACAACCAAGCATAATAAATCATGACTTGTGTGAAGAGACTAAATAGTGGCGTAGGAGTATTTCTTCTGAATGGCAGAAAAACAGGATTTCAAGTATTTTTACAGGGAACCTGCCTATACGTACAGCGAGTATTACAGGATTTGGTCTGTTTTTTTTGGGGGGGGAGGGGGTTCGGAACGCGACACTGTATCTTTCAACAAAAATTGGGACTAATTTATTAACCATAATTAATTTTGTAGAATACGAGGTCAAATGTCATGAGCAACTGGTTTAAACAAATTAGGGAATTTTTCGTTTATGAGAAGACAACAGTGACTTACACGTAATTAAATGGTGCATGTTCTAAAAACTAATAACTGCGGTTTTGTCTCGCCCGAATCCTGTTGACTATTCTTATATACATATGGCACTCATTTTCCTTTTATGTATATTTACATCACACGGCGTTCTCCCTGACTTCCTGCACGTGGCATTACAGTGACTATGAAACTTATCAATCAAGAGCCCTAAGTGTTGGGACACGCCACGTGGATTGTATTTCTCAAGTTCATGGTGTACGAGGGGCCATGTTACTGATAAAAAAACACAGAAGTTATACAGAATACCAGAAATTTCCTGTTTTTAAATAGGATTAAAAAGATAGTAGGTAGAGTTGTTATTAACAAATTACATATATGAATTTGCTCATTTAAGTTATCCACAATCATAACCACTGAAACATGTACACCAATTCTAGAAAAGCACATTCCTGGAATAAAGATGAAACAAACACATAGCAGAGCAAGTGTAATATTTTAAAGAAAAAAAATCACATTAATCGCTTTGAAGGACGTTCAGAAGAACTGTAACAGGGATCCGTTAGTTTCTGTGAGCATAGTCATTTCCAGTTCTTTGATACGAATATTTTACAAATGAGTGTGATTGGAAGTATTTTTTACTAATATCCGAATGAAGGTCATAAACAAAAACAAACACCACAATAGAACATGTCTTTTATCTCTATCAGGCTAAGAGGAGGTTCTAACCAATATAGCACGGCCTACGTTTTATGTAACTTCATCTGAACCAACTTAAACCATCACATAAGAACGTAACCGAAACAGCAAATGTACTAGCCAGTAAAGCACAGCCTTGTTTGTTTTTTGTTTTATTTTTAGTTACATCTAGGCCAAATTATACCATAACAAATGACACACACATAAAACAGAAAATGTACCTACGGTTTCTTTCTTACACAGCCTCGTTTGGAGTAAGTTATACCTTGAAATTAAAACATAAACAAAACGTAGAAGCGACTTATTAGTAGAGCATGGCTTTTTTCTTACATAACCTCATCTGGAGCAAGCTATACCATCATATTAAAACATAAACAAAACACAGAAGGGACTGGTCAATAGAGTAAGACTTCTTTCTAACTTAGCTACATCTGGAGCAAGCTATACCATCATATTAAAACACAAATATAGCAGAGAAGGGGCTGGTCAGTAAAGTACGGGTTTTTAAAAATATTTTTTACTTAAGTCTTTTAACCTCGCATTAAATCTTCATGTTTAGAAACAACACGTTAAATAATGACCTTTTTCTTCAATACCTGTAGCAGAACAGTAAAACTATATGATATTATAGTACATCGCAGACCTATGTAACCTTGATCACAGGAAACTCAAGTATGATATTATAATACATCGCAGATCTACATATGTGACATTGATCACAGGAAACTCAAGGTTAACGTAAATTTAATCCATTCTGAATGAGCCCAAGCTTTCATATACGTTTCAGTAGCACTTTTCTTATGGAAATTAATAGGATAGAATTAGTTAGAATGACTAATGCCAAAAGGTTAATCTAGTTTGCATTATTCATACCATTTGAAGCTTTGTACTGTTAGTTACGGTTTGTGTTTTAGTGGAACGCTTCTGAAGAAGCTGTAAAGCGAAAAGTTGAATGTATAATTAAGAAAAAAAAACAATATGGTGTTAAAAGGTCGTTTATTTATAGTATTAAAATGTTTTCTATACACCAATATACACTACAGAAATTAAATAATGTGGTTTGCGAATGTTTTTAATAGAGGAAATTGAATTTCAAAACTGATAGTTCATGAATTTTTCCTCATTGGTTGCATCCACACGTTAGGCTTAAGTGTACCACTTCAAATAAAATGTCTAGACTAATATTGTTTGGGGATATAGATTATTATTCGACTTAGGCGTTTCTAGTTTTTGTCTTTTTGAATCAAATAAATATTAATAAAAGAACCGGTGAGTCAGCGGTAAGTCTGAGAGTTTATAGCGCTAAAAATTGGGTTTCGATACTCGCGATGAGCACAACACATTATGTAGCTATGTGCTTATAACTGAACAAATAAAAAATACAAAGAAGTTTTTTATTGTACAAACATAGACAAAAGTCAATAGACTTGACACTTGTGATAAAAATCACGTAAACTTCAGAAGTTTTCCACATAGTCCTCTTAATTTGTCCATTTCGGATTCTAAATTAGAAACATGTAAAAATAGCATTTCAGATCCATCTTTTGTCTCCTACAAGTCATTGCCCAAGGCATTCAAACCGTAATAAACAAAGAAGTTGACCTAAATTCTTCAAACCAATCAGTTTGTCTATGTTTGATATCTTTTTCCACCAAAGAAAGTCCATTAGTTGTTTTTACGAATAGCTGTTTTAGGTGTTGTTTATTATTAATCTGTGTGACAAACATATAACAAATTCTAGTTCAACTAATCCGAAAAGTCACACGTTATTCAAGAACTTTGGTCGAAATCCACGTAACCGGGAGACACAAATTATTACACATGCAATCTTTTATTTTCGGCACAGTTGAAAAAAGTCTTAATCTGGTTTATACGTCTTTATTATATTTGGTCAGATTCCTTTCGAAGTTAAACGAAATTAGCAATGAGGCAGACAGACCAAACGATACAAAGTAGACCCTTAACCGTTCCCATTTCGAATGGGAAGTCTAACGTGTATTGAATTATTCCAAGTTATAACAAAGTTGAGTCAACATATTTCCACTTTAATTGGCACTGACGTTTTCTAACAAGACTGACACCATGGGAGTAAAACAAACAAAATACAAAAGACTCGGTGCATTCGTCTAATGAACAAAGTACCTTTTGACGGATGTGAACCATCTCCTACATAAACATATCCTCACAGCCCCCCACATTTCACAAACAGGTATTAAATGCATCTACAGTCCAGAAAGCCTGTTCCTTTTTAAAACCAAGTGACAGAAGACAAGTAAGCTCGAGGTAAATGTCTACTGTCGCTGAAATACCCAGCGCGCAAGCTAATTATGTGACTGTCAGTCCTTGTAGTTGGAGATCACGTGGCTGCTTGATAAAAATATATTTTTATATACAAATGTTTTAAAAAAATACACGTTTAAGTGTTCACTTCGTGCTTTTGATAACCATACAAAGAAAAAAAAACGTTTTAGTACTAGTTTTCAAGAATTTCAACACATTATTTTTCACTTTCATTACCAGATGCTATTATAAATGTTATATTTATAAATTTATGGTACTCACTCTTTTTTTTTGGAGTAATTATTTTTTTTGTAGAGTGTTCAGTTATTTAAAACAGTACTTTATTGATCTTGCATTTACTCACTTTTTATGTTTCAGTTATTATCAGTGACTTAGAATTAATTTACTTGTATAAAGTTATGATGTTTACCAGACGGGATATCTTGTTTCTTTGTTGTATTTCGCGCATAGTTTCATAAAAGTCATCTTCGCTAGCCGTCTCTAGTTTCGAAGTGATAGACTAGACGGAAGGCAGCTAGTAATCACCAACTATTGGGGCACTTTTTCAGACTGAATTGTGGGATTTGACCATCATTCTTACATTGCACTCATAGCATGGCTTTTTTCTTACATAACCTCATCTGGAGCAAGCTATACCATCATATTAAAACATAAACAAAACACAGAAGGGACTGGTCAATAGAGTAAGACTTCTTTCTAACTTAGCTACATCTGGAGCAAGCTATACCATCATATTAAAACACAAATATAGCAGAGAAGGGGCTGGTCATTCTTACATTGCACTCTTTTTTTGGCGGTGACGGGACAGAAACCAAGGAACCTCGGCTCCACTCTCCAGAAAGCTAACCACTTGGTCGTACTCGGCCTCGGAATCTCTTGCACACTTTGTTAACATGCCGGACTGTAAATACAAAGGTTCACCTTCGTGCCTATTTCGCAATATCGCGCTTCGCACGTTAGGGCCGTGGATGCGTTATAAGAACGACAGTAAATCCCATTATTCTATGAGAATAGTTCTAGAGTTGACGATTGGTTCTATTACTCAGCTGCCCTCCCTTTAGGAACAGCTAGCGCGGATAGCTCTTGTTAGATTTGTACGAATATCCGAAATAAACAAACACATCTTGTCGATATCTATTTTTATCACTCTAGTACCAGTTTTTGTTGAAATTTTAACAGATTATAAAACGCCAACTTTTTACATATTTTGTGGCTTTCAGAACGCACATTTTCACACTAAATATATAGAAAAACATAATTATATAACAATAGAGTAACAACTTCGTGAATATATTTTTTACAGATAAGTAACGCAAAAATTGTACAAAAAAAACCTTATAAAAATGCTTATTTATTTCTGATATTTGCGAATAGTTACACAACAGCCATCTGCGTTAACCATCCCTACTTTGAACTGATGTACCAGAGGGAAGGCGACTAATCAATAGCACTCACCGTCAACTCTTGAATTATTTTAATCGAATACTGAGATTTGACCATCACTCTTATAACGCTAACTATTGACCAACGTAAAAACAAAC